CCCCAAAACCCCAAAACCCCGTAAAGTGAAATAGATAGCAACAATGTAATAATAATTATAAAATTAAATTTTCCTAGTAGTATGGCATCTAATTCGAGAATACTTGGTTTGTTGTCTCTCTTGCTGACGACTCAACTTGTCTCTTCAAGATTGGTAATATATGGACCTCAAGATCTTAAAGACAAGTTTTCCACTCAAGGTAATTCAATTTAAATCAAGTAAAACCTCTGTTTTAGATTACAAAATTCAAGCTAACTATGCTAATTTTGGAAATATACCATATGGATAATCTCTTGTAAGTATCTCAAAATCATAAACACTCTCAATCTAGCGCATTAGCACTTGCACACTACTAATCAATTTTGATATTTATCTGTGAACTATAGATTGGCAGAATATATTACAACGCATCAAACAAGGATGGATGCGAGAGGACGAACTTTACGACTGATTTCAGCGGCGACCCAGATGGAATACTCACTCCAATCTTTTTAGTGGACAGAGGCAATTGTCACTTCGTGACTAAAGTTAGAAACGTCGAGAAAGCAGGTGGATCCCTTGCAGTTATTATTGATGACAGCGGCACTATGGATATTAAGAAGGTAATTATGAGTGATGATGGCACTGGCACTGGCATCAGAATCCCCTCTATGATTATAAGCAAAGAAGACGGCAAGAAGTTAAAGGAGTTTCTGACTAAGTCAAGCAGCGATGTGGCGAGACAAGCCTCGCTCTCAGCTGAGTTTGTTTTTGAGAACATTGAAAATGAAGTCAAGTGGCAGTTCTTCTACACTTCAGCAAATGACAAAGCCCTTGATTTCATTAGAAACTTCAGAGATAATGTCATTAAGTTGCAAAGCTCAGTGCAGTTTTAGCCAAGGTTTGTGTCCTGGTCTTGTCCATTTTGTGACTCTGACTTCAAACGCAAGGAGTGCTTCTCAGATGGCAAATACTGTGCAATGAATCACATTGGCACCAACGTCTAGGGCAAGGACATTCTAGAAGAAGACTTAAGGGAGGCCTGTCTGTTCAAGCTATTGAAGCAAGACCAGTAAGAAGCTAAATGGTGGGACTACATGCAATACGTGCACAGAATGTGTTATGAAGAGGTGAATGAGGAGTGCTCTAAGATGGGGCACAAGAGCATTGGCAGAGATTATCAAATCACCACCAACTGTGTAAAGGACTCGTTCGAGGGAAGCAAAAACCCTCAAGTTGACGATAACAAGATTTTGAAGGAAGATATCGCCGCATGGAATCTGTACGGAAGTGCTTACTGGCCCACCGTCGTCATCAATGACAGAAACTACAGAGGAGATCTTGTGCCTGATAGTGTGATCAATGCTCTATGTTCTGCTTTCGCCAAAGAGCCAAGTCAGTGCAAAAAATTCAAAGAAGAGGCTGGTATCGCTGTTGAGCCAGAAGGCATCACTGGCAATGTTCTCATTATAGTCGTCGTTCTCCTTATTCTTGTCAACATTGTCATGATATTCATATACAGAAGATGCTCGAACAGAGAGATGAAAGACGATATGTAATTGCAAGTAAACTCAGCAGTCTCCTAGTACTTCGCTCTTTCCACGAGAAACAACACTTCTATGTGAGAGTTTGCTTTACATCCATACACCCCAATTGAGACAGATATACATTAATTCCTCAATTTATTCATATTCTTAAATCCCCCATCAAACTCATATTGTTACTCCCGGGGTTTTGGGGTTTTGGGG